TTTGCCTTGTTACTTAAACTTTAAAAATAACACTTCCAAACTATTAGATATTGTGTTTGAAGCCCCAGAAGAGGTTCTCCAGGAGTACTGGCTGTTTAGGCTGATATAACTCCGTTAATCAAACGTTTCTCTGAAGCCAAACATGAACTTTTCCCCACGATAAGGAATGAAGAAACACCACAAATTAGTTGAAAAGAAACTTTGATGATCCCGTAATAATCTTTCACGTTTGTTTAACGTTTCCAGCAACGTTCGTGAACTAAGTTTGACCTTTAGCCAATACGACTCAGTTTAGTTACTCTGGGTAAACTTGATAATAGACTTTCAAACATTACAAACACATCTTGGGCTAATCTACACCTAGAAAAAGGGAACGTCAATTGTAGTGTAAGAAGTTGAAATCTTCTTGCTTTGTTGTTCTAGCAAATTCTCTTCCTCTTTAATAGTCATTGCTTAAAAACTGAACCTGCTGGGCGAAATTTTCCGGGTTTGAATGATTGCTATTCATCATTTAAATATTGTGAAATAGCCAGCGTCGGACAGTTTAGAGCAGACAGCTGATATTAAATTATTAAGGGCAAGTCGTTCGTCTCTATTGGAAAATGTCAATCTACATAAGAAATTTACAATATGAAAGTACAGAATTGAGGAAGATTCAGCAATATTTCAAAGTGAATCATATGGTCTACATACGTTAAATCTGTTATGTTGGAAAACTAATTGTCCTTTTTATACAAAATTTTCGGTTTTCCCCTGTATTCTCCAGTGCTACGATGGCATTTCGCCCGCCTCTGTCTGTGTCATCATTCTTTATCGTTCTGAGTAAAAAAAATTGCGATACTGCTTCAGTGTTCAGAGATTCAAGTGAGCACGAGATTGCTGACATTGCTAGTTAACTGTTTTCATTTATTGTGAATATAAACAACCGATTTTTGATTGTGGACGTTGCTTAGGATCTTAAAACAAGAGAAAATGAGTTCATTAAAGTGGTGGGTCAAGAAAGCAGTTTCAGTGGTAAATCTGAGTAATAGGAGTGGTCAAACGGAAAAAAATACCTAAAAAAGTTTTCAGTGTTATGAAATCGAGACTGCAAACTTGCTGTCACAATTTGTTAACCACTCTTGGCCTGGCATGAATCAGTTTCAACGACAAGAGGCTCTGTATTCCGAGAAAAAAGGAGAAAGACAGCGTTTTCACTCTAGTGGCCGGCATCTATGTAAAAGAAAGCGTTTACATATGAAACACCGAGTTTAACTCCCACAGGATTGCGCATGCCATAATGCTGAAGCTACCAACGTGGCCGCCGTTGTATTGTTTTGGAACACCATGACCGCCTTGACGTCATGCCAGAACGCTCCATAGTCACATTCACTTCAAACAGTATATAAAATTTCTATATGTACGTATTTCTTCTTCACAGTAACTGTAAAATCCTTATAAATTAGAGGGAAAATGCCTGAAACGTTTGACCGCTTGTACAATATTTCCCAATTAAGTACTAGTTAGTTAGGGCTATTCAGGGTTAAGTTTTAGACAGAAATTAAAAATAGCAGAGCTGTATTGGCATGTGGCGTGCGAAATCATGCTCAGTCGCCATGAAAAGTGCTGAACTTTCCTCTCGGAAAGGAAAGTTCAGCACGAAGGTCGCGAGAGCGTCGAAGTCGAGAAAGCCTAGAATTATGACAGAAGCCCAGGAAAAAATTGCTAGCCTGCAGTGCTTTGAAAGGTACCAGTCAGCAATTAAAAAAACCTCAAAGATAATAGCTAGCTCTATATGCGTTTTGTTTTTCTTTATTTACTCCATTTTCCAGTGTGAGGATCGGATCGGATCACAACTTGTGTATTTTTTATAACAGCGTATTTAATTTTAGTAAACCTTCAAGCGGTTGTAGGTGGTAAGAAGTTTTGCTTCAAGAGAAAAAATTTACCGGTTACTGATAGGGAGAACACTGTTTCTGGTAAAATATTGATTTAGAAGCACCTTAATAATCTGACGTCGGTAAGTTTCGATCAGCGTTGTTGTTTAATGCTTATATTTTGCTGATGTCTTAGTGGCTTTCGAAACGCATACACAAAAATAAATATTTAACGGAACAATCAGCAGTTAACCTGAACATTGTGATAATATTAACTACTACGGGAGCGGCCTGAATGAGGGATAGTTGAACTGAATTGAACTAAGACTGTTGTTCGCTCTGTTACGAGGGTTAGAAATGATTATACGACACAACTATATTCCCTTCATAGTATTAATTGATTGTCTGAAAATGTGTTGGTGTATACACCAACATATTTCAATATTCAGTGACAAATACAAGCTGGCCTACGTAGGGGCAGAGGAGATGTTAGAAATGGCCCAGAAAATCATTGGTTTCTTGGTTTCACAAAACGGACCTTGTAGTCATCAGTTCCAGATTCCATCCTATGCCTGACATCGGTCACATTACTGTTGGTTCTGAGTGCATTGCACCTCGTGACTCTGTTCGTAATTTAGGGGTTCAGTTTGATAGCATATTTAGTTTTGAGGAGCACATTAAGAACATTTGTAAATCATCATTCTATCATTTGAGAAATATTGCTAAAATCCGCAAGTACTTAAGCCAAGATACATGTGAAATCTTAGTCCATGCATTTATTAGTTCGAAACTTGATCACTGTAATTCCTTATTACATGGCCTTCCTAAGTATCTGTTAGCTAGACTACAGGCAGTTCAGAATGCTGCAGCTC